GTTTTCCATTTCACCCTTCGCAAACATGATAATACCTTGAGTGCAATAGGATAGAGGGTCTGACAGTGAAAAATATGTGTTCACACCCGAAACAAGTTTTGTCGTTGAACTCTTCTTTCATCAGTAATCGATCTCATTGCAGTTGAACTCTGGTGATTAACAACATTGACGAGTTTATCTCTTCCTCTTTTTCCGCCTTAAGCCTCAGAAAAAAATTTTTTTGCTTCTAGTTCTTGGAATAATTATCCGAAATTTCACTTTTTGATGCCAACTAATATTAGTGTATGTCCATATAGATTCTTTATAGCTAATTGTTCACCTTAATCATGTTGTGAACAAGCTATTTTTGTCTTCATGTAAGTTCGATTGTATAATAAAACTTAGAAAGTAGCACTGTCTACATTCTTGGCTTGCGATATTCTTCTCTCGAATTTCTATATAATTAACTCTTTAGAGAATGGTCAAAGTGAAATGGTTTTGTTATCGAAGGTGAAAACTGTTGGAACGCATACTACGAGGAAATCTACCTATTTCGTACTTTTTGATCCACATGTTCAGCTAGTCACATTGCGGGACGAGAAGTGTTGGTGATATACTCGAGGACGGCTTTCAACCTTCGATCACTCTTCTCGGACTAAACTGATTCAGGCCGAGAGTAAAGTTGAACATTGTGGTTTCAACCACGTATTCACCTTAAAGGGGGTTTATGCCGATTCGCGTTGCCTAGATCAGTTCTCCGGACGGGTAATTGCTGGTAAGCACTAAAGAGGTTGTAACGTGGCCGATAGAAAAGCAAAGTGAGGGCTTCGATGGTGTAGCAGAAAATTAGTGAGTCGCCAAAGGGTTTTTTGCAAATTCGGAACCACAGATTTATGTTTCGGTCAAATCTCGACCTCTCTTTGTGATTACATATCATATACCTTGTCGTTAAAACCAAACGAGGCGAGAAATAATGTCAAAAATTGTCGTTACCAATAGAAATGCGAAACAGCAAAACAACTGCGAATCAGATTAACACTCTTTTTAGTCTTTGCGAAAAATTCTACTGTTGAGAATATTCAATTCTGATCATGCGGATCGTCAACGATCAAAGATGATCAGAGACGGCGTTCTATACGCCAGGATATCGCAAATAAGGTGAGCCGGACACGTGATGCGCTTCAACGACAACCGATGGACAAGAGCCGTTACCGACTGGATTCCTCGGAATATCAAGCGCTCTACACGAAGACCAGCTGCCCGATGGTCCGATTTCTTCATGAAAGGCATAGAAGAAGGATATGATGCTCAGCGAATCCCTAGACCAAGGAGGACTACTGGGCTACTCTTGTACGCGATAAGGAAAAGTGGAAGTGTTGGTGGCGCCCGCTCGATCCACTCGACGATCAACGGGACGACAGGTGATACAGGTGATCATGCGGAGTGCTCATCTTCGTTATAAAGTTCAAGCTTTAAATAAATATCCATATAGGAACTGAAAGTCCTTAGCAGAGTCTGATTGAGACAAAATAATTTGATCGGTTATGTATGTAAATTGTGAATTTTGAATTGAATGTTTCTAAACGCAGTTTTGATTAACACATTACTAGGAGGTTCAAAAACGATTTGTCACTTCCCAAAACAGGAATCTGTGATGAGGCACATTGAAGGACCCGTACTCAGTGAGTGTCTAGCCCCTTAAGAAGTGTCTACATTGGCTGATTATCTTGTCGTAGTGAAAAAGTACACATAGTTTTTGAACTTCAATTTTAAGCACATCAAAAATATTTCTGCATTTGCTAAACGAACAATGGACTCTGCATCACGTTCTGTTCAACAACAACACTCTCGCATAGCTATGAGAGTTTTTTCTAATCAAGAGAGTATCAAGATACGAGGAAACCTCTAAACCTCTGTTGGGTTTTGTAGTGGTGATTACCTCTTACCGGCAACTCACATGTTATATACTACATCGTTGAGACCTCTGTCCTGCCTCTCACTCAGCCATGTTCCAACTGTATTAGTTGCTATCAGCGATTATCCGCCAATGGGATTGATCCGGAAAGCTTAAATCGACTATGAACCCCGTTTAACCGAAGCTGCAGTCAAAGTTACAATATCTTAACTTTATTGCCTGTTTGTTTTCCAAAATAGGGTACGTTCTGAAAAAAGCCATGAGAATACTGAGATATGAACAAAACTTGAAACGTGAGCTGTCTTCGAACTTCTGATTACCTTTTCAGAGGCTCACATGTTATCCATCACACCATCGTGACCTTGCTTGTTCAATTTTTATTCAAAGATGGCAATTTGGTCCCATGAAATCAGGACCTTGCAGTACATCTCAAGGACTGGTTTCGCCATCACAATAGTACATTTATATTTCACCCGTCCCGTTTATCACCACGTCTATCTTCAAACTTATTTTGCCCTTCATTACTCCTCCTATAGAGAAATGTGGGCCTAGAGAAAGCTTTGCATACTTCACGTTTCCTTTTCACTATTTTATTCGTTATTTTCTAAACGATGCAAAAATTCCCCATGTTCATTGCTATGCGATGGATACTGAAATAGTACATTTCCTTAAATTAGACATTTTCCGGAGCGCATATAGCGTAGAGCTTCGAGGTGCCGTGATATGCAATAATGCAATACTAAAGCGGTCGTTGGTTTGACTTCATGCCTCGTACTCACCAAGTCTTCTATCTTCTGGGTTGGCAAAGTCGAGATAGACTTCTGAGAGAACATAAACTGGCATAACACATCGCTAGACCACCGCAAGTCATTGCAAAGGCCACATAGGCAATCAATCACCTCTGATTTTGCTAAATTCTTTCACGAAAAATCAGTCACAGCGTGGCTAGCCATTGTATAGAAATCAATAATGAAATTTTTCAATTTAACTGCTTTTAGCAGTGGTATGATGCTCAAATATTTATCCAAGAAGATTGAGCGTTAGCAAAAACTCAACCTCACGCTGGCACTGAACCCGTGCTTCATCATTGCACGAGGCGCGTCCTACCACTACATCACCAAGATCACCGCTTCGTGGTCACTTTTTCTTCTAAATGACCCACCGGTAAGGGTGGAACGCTGCCAACTCCCCCCGCCTGAGGTCGAATTTTTGCGTACCACTCAATTTTCCTGGATGAAACAGTTTTGATTCAGTAATCAGTAACCATTTTAGCAATCCGTAGCCACTTACTCCGCCATACTTACGTTCATCCATCAGTTCGTCAAAGTCGCAGGAATCGTCATTCAAGTCTTATTCGCAGGGCACAAAACACTGATTTACATAAACCAGCAACAGTTATAGAATAATGCAAGCTTGCCTACAATGCTCTGTTTCTCGCATCATCGAAATATAGATTTTTTAGGGGTGAATGACAAGATTTTCGCACATTTAAAAAGAGCATAGCGTGTGATAGAATATTTGAAAGTGCCCTGCAACAATACGTGATCGCTGTTTCAACCCTGCTTCCCAGGGTCATCAAACCTTTTATACCTTCAGTCGACAACATGACACTTTTGTCTGGGAATATAACATAGGGCAACTCTCAAGGATTGCTGAACGGCGAACGTTAAAGTTAAAACTTCTTGTGTTTTGCAAGTTTTTGAATCTTCTCCGATACTCTTCGATCGATTGCTCTTTGTTCGCTTCTTCAACAAAATGTCTTGTTCACTTAAGAGTTATATTTCTAAGTGCTGTTCGTTTTTTCCTGTTTTTTTTTCAATACCTTGGAAGACTCTAAATTCCGATATCAAAGGTTAGAACCATTATCCCTAGCTTCTGGTTCTCTATATTTCTTCTGTGTTCCAAACACCTCTAAACTAAGTCTTGTAGCTGCTTTCCTAAGACAAGGAAAGGGATTGAGCAGATGACATCACCAACGAATTTAACCAAGAGACACCGTACTACTGATGAACCCGCAGGAGCGAAGCAGGCGCCTGTTTAGTACTTTATAAGCGCCATACCAGACCTCATAAAAGCTCAGAGAATGTTATCATATTATTGATGGTCTAGATTTGTCCTGTCCTTTACTTTGATTCGAATACTACCCTATTGCATGTTTACACAATAAAATGCTGTATAAGTTTTGATCTGTTAAATAATCACAGCTTACAGGGCCCAATTGAGAGCAGCCAGAAAAAACTGACTCTCATTTTGCACGCTTAGTGAATCAGGGTATGTTGGGGAATTATATCCTTATAAAGGTAGGCAAAACATACTTCCACATAGCCTTAATACTCATTCGTAGAATTAGCTTGGATATACAAGTCGAGCAGCAGAACGGTAACAGTCGCTTCGACAAGATGCTAACTAGTTCGCTCTAAACTTCCAGTGACAGATACATTACCATTTATAACAGCAACCACTAAAAATTGGTACCATAGAATAGTAAGGCAAGCTGTTCTACCCCATATGCTAAAATCGTTTCGACGTGTAACGTAGTTCTACGGCGAGGATGAAAAATGCATAGTTTCAGCCTTTGAAAACTCTTGGAATAACTCATTCATTTCGTTGGTCTTCGCAACCGCAGTGGAACTGATTGTTGTCTCAACACTATATTCTTAGCTTACGTCATTATTTTTGATAATCCAACGTTACCACCTTTCATCCTTTCACGAAGGCCCTAGAGGAGTGCGTCATTGAGCTCGATATCAATGTGAGCAGAGATATGACAATGCCGATTCCCGCTTTTGAGATTGGATCCCACTGAATTCATTGAGAAAGTCGTTCCTATGCTCAGTTCTCAAAATACCAGAAAGGAGAAATGACGTCATAGGCCGGTGCAAAACGCCTTCTAGAGAAGGAATTCAAAAGATTGTTTGCTCCTGTACGGGTCCAAATCGGCAAGTACGCTCATGAAATAGTTAAAAACGTTTTATAAAGTAACAGCTGCATAAACATGTCGAGCTAGCAAAGTGTCCTTTGTCTAACGTTCTTTCTAGCCTCAGGCGCTTGTGCACATTTGAAGATTCGTTCGTCCCTTGAAAAATGCTGAGAATATGCAATTTTGAACCCTGGGCGAGAATCGAACCCACATCTCTCCCTTTCTAGTGGTGCGTGCTAACACTGTACTACCGGAGTCGCTTTCTGCTATCATTCTCTCTTCATTCATCATATTTTCAAAACCAATTCCTTGTAATATCATACTGCATGTGGTATCAAACACAGACACAATTAAACCTCTTCAACTTCTACACAGTAGTCGGTACCTCGCAGACTAACCAGAATCCCTGTTGATTATACATATACTAAAGCAATCAGAGCAAGAACAGAATCCAAGAACTCTCTATAAATCTAACTATCCTTTCCTTTATTTAAAACTTGCACGATGTTGGTAATTTCTTCCGTTTCGGCGGCAGCGCCTTCGTCAGAGCCTAGACGTATAAATCATGCCATATCTGATTACTCGGTTAATATTTCGCAAGTATCAAAAATCTAATAGAACAGAAATCAATAGACTAGTCATTCCGAAAAATCCCGCAATGGCTGATTTGTTGTCTTAGATCTTTGATAATTGCGAAATATTAACCGAGTAATCAGATATGGTATGATTTGTACGTCCAGGCTGTGACGAAGGCGTTGCCGCCGAAACGTTAGCCATCGAGTTTTGAGAGAAAGAAGAAATCACCAACCTCGCGCAAGTCTTAAGTGAGGAAAAGGATAGCTCGTGAGAGATTTTACATTTCATTAATCATGCCGAGGTTAAGAGATAGTCGGACTTTTGAGTTCATAGATCTAACTTTATGAGTGAAAACTTTTTTCAAAGTTTGAAACCTAGGAAGAAACAAAGGAAAAAATGACATGGAAATGTTGTTTTCGTAGATGAGATGATACGTTGTTACGCAGATACATTCACAGCTAAACTTTTCCAACCGAAGTAATATTTACAAGTGATAAATATCGATCAAATTTGTTACCATTCAAAAATCCATTAGTTTCGAAATTGGACTGACAGAAAAAGTTCTTAATTATCATGACGAGAAAAAGCTTGACGTAAACTATTAGTAGGCAACTTTGCAGTGTGTTGTGACTTATTGCAGTATTTAGCCGTTGACACGACCATCAATGAGAACTTTGATAACATCCTCGTCTACAAGCGTGGTGGTGTCGCCAATCGCCGATTCGCATCCTTCAGCGATTTTGCGAAGTATGCGACGTGTCACCTTTCCAGAACGCGTCTTCGGTAGTCCAGGAGCCAACTGAATTGCATCAGGAACGGCAATTGCTCCAATTCGAGAACGAACCATTTCCTTCAGCTCCGCAACGAGTGACGGATTCATCTTCTCTCCAGTATTCAGAGTAACAAAAGCATATGGAAACGAACCCTTGATTTCATGAGGAGCGGCAACTACGGCAGCCTCAGCCACCTAAGGAAGTGGAAGAGTGACAATGTATAGAATCAATTGAGACAATCAAGTGAAAAAGGAGATAGTTACCTTTTCATGGGCTACAAGAGCACTTTCAATTTCAGCTGTAGAAAGAAGATGACCAGAGACATTCATTAGATCATCAACACGTCCCGTAAGCCAAAGGTAACCATCTTCGTCACGACGAGCACCATCACCAGTAAAGTAGTACCCATTGAATGGGGCAAAATAAGTTTTCACGAATCTAAAACTACGGAAATAAAGGAGAAAAAAAACTTGGAAAGGAGATATGCGATTGAGGGGAAAATTATGGATCAGCGGAGTGAAATAAACAAGGCTAAATTAGCAACAAAGTTGAAGATCTGATGGAACAAGTTTACAAGGACATGGAACAAACAACCTCAAAATATGCACTCTTCGTTTGATAAAAAAGCACTGACCTCTCATAATCGCCAAACACGGTGCGCAACATGCCAGGCCACGCTCGATCAAAGCAAAGATTTCCTTCGCCAGGACCTTCAATGAGTCGTCCATCAGCATCCAGAATCACGGGGTTTACACCAAAAAATGGATAAGTAGCAGATCCCGGTTTCATTGGAGTAGCGCCTGGCAAAGGAGATATCATGATGCCACCCTGAAAAATAGGCGATAAATCTTGTTAATGGACGAATCGACATCTACTAACCGTTTCAGTCTGCCAGTATGTATCCACTATTGCACATTTCTTCTCACCGACTACGTTGTAAAGCCACAACCAAGCAGACGGATTGATTGGCTCCCCAACGGTACCGATCATTTCCAGGGAAGCTCGTGAGTGTCTAAATGTCACCTGATTGTTATCTCATTTTCTTCGATATCCCTTAATTGGAAATACAGACAATATTCAACCCAAAGAGATTCTTAGTAATCACAATCGCGCCATAGTTGAAGATACAAAAATTTTCAAATTATTACATATGCGTTACAGACAAAAATCACTGACTTCGTCACATGCTCATCGCCCAAAGCCATCAGAGCACGGACTGCGGTTGGCGAGGTATAGAGCTTGTTCACCTGAATTCATCACAATTGTAAATTGGAAACTGATTTATTACAAAAAGCAAAGCATACATAGAGAGGATGAGACGACACATATTACCTTATATTTGTCAGTTACTTCCCAAAGCCTATCTGGTGCTGGGTAAGAAGGAACTCCTTCAAACCACACGCTAGTTAGACCATTTAAGAGCGGACCATATAAGAGGTACCTTGAGAACAACACGAGAATTAGGGAATTAAAAAGATGTAAAACACAGTGAATAATTCTCAGTATCACAGCTAAAAGATATCCTTACGAGTGTCCAGTAATCCAACCGCAGTCAGCCGTACACCAGAAGATATCCTTATCCGGATGCGCATCAAAAATATACTTCGTGCTTGTATATGCGTGCACCATATAGCCAGCTGTGGAATGTTGGATTCCTTTCGGTTTTCCGGTCGAACCGCTAGAAAAGAACTCAACATTATCTAAGAATATTAGGTGGTATACAAAACATTCGACCCTAGGCGGGAATTGAGTTGTATTGTATTCGGATCGATGCGCCGAACTTAGTGTTTTTTGTTTAACCAGTAATTTCTTAAGAGCAGAAATGTTTTCGTTTCATGTCGAAATGCGTATGAATCCCCTGTCTTACTGCTTCTTAGAAGTGTTAAGGTGTTCTACTTGTACATTCAAGACTGTTTTGTAATACCCGAAACATTTGACTTCAAGCGAGAGTTGAACCAGCGATTCACCAATATCGGGAGCGCGTGCTACCACAACACAACCAAGGCCATCGTTTCCCAATCTTTCTTCTAAGGAAACTAGCTATCAGCAACAAACCCTTAACGAGTTCCAAAGAGTGGTGGCAACACGGTGGCCTCAATAGTGTAATAGACGTTCATGTCCCTCGGATGAGTTAAACGCTAGTTCAACTACCGAGTGAGGTCAATAGTTTGGCATATCACTCAATTGGAGACTATCTGTCAATATTTAGTATTAGATCACATTCATATGCTTCTGTGTGATTCAACTCAACCAGTATATCGTAACAATTCATGAGACGCCGGTATGTAACTTTCTCAAAATATCTCCATTAACTAAATCAATGTAGTTATTTTAAGGAAGTATTCTATTTTAAGAAAGTGTACTATGCTATTCCTTTGTGGACCAACGTTGAAATGCAGGCGGCGTCGCGTTCCCACGAGATACAACTTTCTCACGAGATGCGCCTGCTTCCCTTGAGATGCGACGCCGCCGTTACAGCATATGAGTTAGATTTGACGTCGCGCGGCACAGCACGAAAGATGCCGTTCCGTCCTTAAAATGGGTTACAATCTCCAACGATAACAGTGTATTTGTCAGTAAACGACTTATTATTGTTTCCTATTGTTACCTAAATTTGGTAATAATCCATCAGTCACTATTTGTACATAGCAATACGAGATAAGCGAAAAAGAATGCTACGGACAAAAACTTTTGATAAGTCAAAAAACGTAAATTAGATGTTTCTATGCACAAAACGGGTTCTTATTTTGAAAACTGAGAACTGAGTAGTAATGCGACCCGAGCTTAGTTGTAAGATGAACGTTTTCGACGCAGCTATAACCAACTAAGCATAACTGCAAAACAGGATTATATGGAAGGTGACTTACGATGTATATAACAAAAACAGTGGGCTTTCAGCATCCATCCATTCCACAGGTGATTCAACCCCCTTGTACCTGGCCATTTCGGCTGTATAACTGAAGTCGACAGAATTCATTGGCACTTCCTAGAATAAACAATGAAACAAGTTGAATAAACCATATACCTATGGGCAAAAAAAAAAAAACAAAGGTACTAACCACAGGCTCTACACATCCTTGTGGGACGGTAATTCGTTTTTGGTGACTAACGACAATGACGGATTGAACCCTCACTCCACCTTCTTGGGCTACATTTAGGGCTTTATCGGCTATTCTTTTTAGATTGACGTGTTTGGTCCCACGGAAGAAACCATCAGCTGTGACGAGAACACGTGATCTGAAGACACTTCATCTCATCCAATCTATCATCCCTCCTGGCACATTTGGTGTCATGCTGGTTTCTGTGATCACTGATCTCGACAATCAAAACACTTGAGGATCTGTTGAAATGGACTGATTTATGATAAGATCTGCACTATAGTCATAAGTAGTTCCTAGAGAATTATTTCAATTTCAGACCTGTTTAATACACTCGCCACAACATGACGTCTAGCACAGCCAGAAAAGGTGGAATAACCACCTAGACTAAATTTTATTAATTGCATCAAAAGCCACTGGAATTTATAAATCTCCGAAAATAAGACAAAAACTCTGCTCCATCATGATAAAACCCAATTTCTGGAGCCCATGACATCATTTTCTCTCAAAATATCGCTTCTAGGGCCATATACCGTATATGGGCAAACGAACAAGCGCAATCTCACTCATCGGAGCACGATTCATAAACAAATGCATCGTTTACATTGAAACTTTAAAAAATCTGATTTTTCCATCAATTCTCAAAAAGTCTGTGCTGTAGACATATTTCAGTCCGAATTCATATTCGGATGATTCGATAAGGTAAAGTCCTTTCTACAAATCTGTTTCTCAAAAGTCCAGAACTCCCAGAAATTAATGAACGATAATTTACCGTGTGTTGCAGAGGAAAACTTTCGAGATATCAAAAAC